GGTTTTTGTGTTATGGTTGACAAATTTCGGGTAATTTTCTTAAATTGATGGTTTTGTGTTATGGTTGTACATTTTAATTTTCTTAAACATATATAATTCGATTATGGACAATTACCCGAAATTACATATATATTTTAGTCAAAAGTGTATACTTCCACTTCTTTATTATTTTATTTAAACTTATTATACAAATATATGATTTACCATAATCGACTGTACTGTAACAAAATTAAAATGTAACATATTCTAATCCGTTAAAAGTTATATATGTAATTATTTTCCCCGCGCTGTAGCGCGGGTCCGAACCTAGTATGGAAGTAAAGTATTAACAATTTTAGATAAATAGTGATAGTGGTAACAGGTATAACCGAGGGAAGATTATTGGAAGCACACATTCCAAAGACGAAGAAGAAAAGTCCAAAAAGAGAACAGAAGTGAAACAGTGTTTTGGAGAATCGTTCACTCATCTAGCTATCTTTTCGGATCTTTGGATGCTTTTGAATTCCAAGTTTTTATGGTTTTTTAATTAGAAACTCTCTCTATATATGTATATACATTTATTAATCTTTTGTTATTACACTAGAAAACAAATAGAGTACCAAATATTTTTCTTCTTTTTGGGCTCTCCATGTGACCTCACTGCCACCACTTCACTTCCTACAAAAACACTTGCGATTGTGAAAGTTTGGCCAAAAGAAATCTATTACATATTGTATATATGTATTCGTATTGTGTAGCATACAATTAATTAAAAGGTGGTTAAGTTGTTAGGCAATGGCTTTTTCTTAACTCTATTGCAATAAATCACTAAACGAATACATGTTTAGTTTTTCTACTCAATCGTATTTTCATATAGGGATTTAGGGTTTTTAAAAAGTTACTATAAGACTTTACATTTTATGGTGAGATCGCAAATCTATATACATGTGTGTAAACTTTACTAATCTATTCGGACATCACTTAATACGTGTACGTACTTGCATATGTACGTAGTTTATATATGGAATATATACATAGCTAGAGAATGGCATGTGAAATCTTGGTTAATTCTCATATAATTTATATGGTTGTATAAGAATTTTGGTGAAGTGCACATGTTTATGTTGATGGATAATGGATAGGTCAACTCCTACAAAATGTTCTGTTTTCTACTTTTCTACATTTGATTTAACAAATTAAACACCGTGTAACGAATAAATTGACCCGCCATAATTGTATTAAATGTATTTTAGTTTTAACTTAAAATTAAGTAATTATACTTTGCAATGGTAATAACAAATAATTCTGTAAAGAACATTAAACTGATGTGAGGATATTGAGTTTTGTTTCGTAAGTTGTTGCAGAGGACATTAATTTTTACCTTTGCTTACATAACTCTTTTTTAAAAAGTGTATATATTGGGGATGAACTAATTCTTAAGCGTTTACATACTAAGTCGTATCTCGTTAATTTTGGTGCATCACAAACTCATTCTAATTTAGTTTGTTTTCGTTCCAGAGATATAATCCCCAACAAAACTAAGAGTTATAATGATTTTTTATTTTAATCACAATTGGGTTTACGTACTGAAAATAACAAAAGCCAAGATGAGATTGTCTAAGCCGACGACGACCACTAGCGACATCCCAACATATGCCCGAAGGGTATTTGTTTGATGAACCAATGAGTAAAGTCTTCGAAAAGATGCTTTCTATTATACCCAAAAAAAAAAAAAAAAAAAAGATGTAGAGATGCTTTAAGAAAAGGACGTCAAGATTCTTGAAAACACTTGGTGTGAGCATCTTATTGTGATTGGTACGTCTTTGACATGCTAGTGGGGATCTTACTCTAAGATACAAAGCCTTATCAAACCCTTCAAGTACGTCTTAATTCAGTAGAGTTTTAATATGCATCACAAACTGATTTCGGACCTTGAATCAAATTCATATGGTTATTTAAAAAAAATAACGAAAATTTGGTCATCATGATTCATGATTTACTTATAAAGTTATTTTCACAACCAAGTTACCTATCAAAACAAGAAGGAAGAAATAGTGGTTAAGACTTATATATACATAAACTACGTGCACATGGAATATACACCTTAGGTTCATGAGATTTGAGAAGAGTAACAATTGTTTACAAACTTAAAGTATAATAAGTTTCTTCCTCATGAACATTAAACATGGTAGCAAAGGTAACCAACCATGTACCAAAATCTAAAACAATCTACGAGACAATGGAAAACTTGAAGAGCATCGTGTGTTTGTATTTCTTCCCTGGCTCAACAATCTGTGAAGGAAATTTCGGATAGTTTAAAGCGTCAGGATAACTTTGTGTTTCTAAACATAACCCTCCGTAAGCTTGGTAAACAGCCCCATTCTTCCCTTTGATGTCCTTTAACATTTCTCCGGTATAGAATTGCAAACCCGGTTGGTTCCCGGTTAACTCCATTTTTCTCCCTGATTTCTTATCTACAAGGTCCACTATTTTCCTCATCTTATCCGCCTTACCATCTAAGCAATAATTTATATCATATCTGCAAGATTGTAAAATAATCATGTAGGTTAACTTAATTATTCGTACCACAATTATATTTTAGCAAAGTGTATATGTGTTACCACTCACCCTGTTTTAAGATCCTTAATATTATCTTTTATAGGACGGAGTTGGAGAAAGTCGTAAGGAGTTCCTTTCACCGGAGAGATCTGTCCGGTGGGAATGAGCTCACCGTCGACGGGAGTATAACTTGAGCCGAGGATTTGGATTTCTTCAGACAAAATATCTCCAGCGTTATGACCACCAAGATTCCAATAAGTATGATGAGCTAAGTTCACCGGAGTTGCTTTATCTTTAGTTTTTGCCTCCATCACCACACTTAATTCATTGTCTTTGTCAAGTGTATATGTCACCGTGACATTGAGTTCTCCAGGAAACCCTATTGATATACAGAGAAGAAAAAAAGAAATCGTTAATTTCTTCCTTTGATAGTAAATTTTTTTTAAAAATGAGAGGTTTGTAAAACAAAAGTTTTGGACCTTGATCGCCATCAGGACTTGTGTACGTGAAGACAATGTGAGGTTTCTTGCCATCATACTTGTGTTTTGTAACTGCCCACACAACATCCCCAAACCCTTTCTTCCCACCTAAATTACCAAAAAAATGTTAATTCATTAATTACACAATTTCCATATAAATCATAACTGATTGATCTGAATAATGTATGTTTTAGCAATCATAATTAATTTTACCATGAAGTGTGTTTTTGCCATCGTTGGCACTTGTCTTGTACTCTTTACCATTCAATTTGAATTGGGCCTTTCCTATTCTATTTGCTACTCGGCCCACGGTCGCTCCAAAATAGACCTTATCGGTCTAATTAGTGAATACAACAAATTAGGGTCGCAAATTACTTTATCAAACACATTAAAAGTATAAAATACACAATAAAATGAGTTTTCTACATTCCTCCATAAAAAAAAAAAAAAAAAAAAAAAAAAGTTTTCTACATACCTGGTAGCTTTTGACGCTGTCGTAGCCAAGTACAATATCGCCAATTTTTCCTGAAAATCCGTATTGTAACACAATCCATATGAGTTTTTTATTTTACTTTGGCTAACAATTAATTGTGTGATTTGGTGCACAAACCATTTTTGTCAGGGAAATTGAGAGACATGATTGAAGCACCCCAATTTGTGAATTTGATCGTTATATTTCCTTTCTTGAGCTCGTATAACCCGATATTCTCCTTCTCATCGTCATCTCCATCAACTTCATCTTCATCATCAGTATCATCATCGGTATCATCATCAGTATCATCATCCGTATCAACATCATCACCATTCTGTCCATCCTTCATTTTATCCTGATGATGCTTCTTTTCATCATCATCAGCAACACCATCTTTATCATGACCAGCACTCTTCTTCTCATCAACATTGTCTTTCTGATCATGCCCTTTCTTTTTGTCCTTCTTATCGTTTTCATCGACAGCATCAGAACCAGCATGGTGATCACCACCTACCTTTTCGCCTCCTTTCTCTGTGTGTTTACTATTATGATGTTCAACATGATTCTTATATTTCTTACTGCTCTCCAAATGTTGCGATTTCACTTCAACGTTGTCGGCAAACGAGACACTTATCACAACTCCTAATGTCACCAATAGAACCAAACATAACAACATAGGAACCCTCGCCATATTGAAAAGGATTTAGAAGTAATATGCGTCAGATGAATATCTTGGTAAAGTATTATTTATAGAGGTTGAATGTTATTTAGATAAAATAAGACAAAAATAGGAAATTTTGACCAATCTGTGATTCCCAGAAGAGTTAGGAGATAAATCCGGATTGTGTTTCCAATTATTATTATTATTTTTTGTTCCTTTACTCGCATAAATCTTTACAACAATAGCTGCGTGAATCACCGAACGTTAACACATAAAAATGGTGTGTTTGTGTTTAAGGGAAATAATGGTGATCAGTGTTTATCACATAATTATTTGGGCTTTTACGTTGAATGTCAAAGATTTCTCACTAAAGCCCTTTTTTAGGCCCACTACGACAAAATTGTCTTTATTTTATTTTTATATGACTCTCGCTTTCTTATTATTATTCTACTAGATAAATGAATTATTATATATCTATAACATCTCGATCTAAATATTAATTAGAAGAAATTATTGCTCCACACAAGAAGACATTAAAATTGTACATTTAATCTTGGATTATTTGAATTTTGTTCCACGGTTTCCTAACTTAAAAAGAAAATAATAAACACTTTTTGAGAGATGGACGAACAAGAATCAACATCTTTTAATACAAAACTAAAACACCTAATAAAAAAAAATTCACCCCAAAAAACAATAATGTCTCTAGCTTTTCTCGTCCTTGTTGGCGAAACTAGTCGTAGAAGACGAAGAAGAAGAATTCTTGAACATAGAGAAGGGAGGAAGCTGCGACGATGGTTGGTCCGAAGACGCACCCGTTTGATTACTTGCCATTATGTTAGACATCAGTAAGCTGCTAAAATAGCCTCCACATCCTTTGTTATTGTTCGTCGTGGTGGTTTGTTGAATGTTATTGCTATTCAAATTCCGTGGACCGGCGATCTGTTGTTCCCCGTTGGATCCGACCATAGTAGAGATCGCTGCTGCGATCACCGAGTGGAAACTTGGGTCGGAAGTAAGCGCTTTTGTTAGGGTTTCGGTTAAAGACTGGCTATTTTGGACTGTTTTTCCTAGGCTGGACGTCCCAAATTGGACATTATTGTAAGGATACGGAGTATAAGAGGAATACCCGTTACCCCATATTGCGGGTAGGTTAAGATTGGACGAGTTGGATGATGAAGATGATGCATTCGAGGAGAAATTTAGGCTTGTGGGTGGGAATCTTTGGAATGAGTTTGAGAATTTGTTGAAGTTCAAAGAAGGCAACGAAGAAGAAGACGGGTGTTGTGGGGCGGTGAGGTCTAGAGTGACGGTGGGATGTAATGGGGAGTGAAGTGTGGGTGAATAGAAGGATTTGTTGTTGTTGTTGTTGTTGAATCTTGAATTATCATAGAGGTTGTTTCCAACCATTTCGGCAGCTGATGAGGAGGAGGAGCCGGAGAGGAGCATGGAGGCGGCTGCTGAGGTGGTGGAGGCCATTGTGGTGGCTGAGAGTGGAAGAGGATGGCTGTGTGTTCCTTCATAGGTCGTGATTAGTATGGACATGTCATCTGCACATCTTTGGACCTAAAACATCCATAGTTTAAGAAAATTAGTTTGATCACCTTTAAAAAAAAAAAATGTAACATTAATTGGCCGCTACACATATTTCTATAAAAACATGGCAACGCAATTGCAAGAAAACAAAACAGTCGCGGTCATGTAGTAGGGATTGTTCAAATTAGATGTCTATGGACACCATTCAAACTACTAGTCTGAAAACGATGTTGAATAATAAATAGTTCATAATGCCGCTATGACTCTATCTAACCCAAGTTAATTAAAGTAAAAAAATTATCGAAAAGACCAACAAATTGTTTAATTTTTCCTTCATCTTTTTATGACTGAAAAAATCTCAATCAGATCTATCAAGACTGGGAAACGATCGAGGATTAAATCCATAGATATATTTGATTATTGTTTAGTAGATATATTACCTGTTTTCTAACGGGACATCCAGGTGCAACCGTGCAGCGATAATATGCTCGTGGACATGGGTTTCCTTTTGCAATCTTTTGTCCATATTTTCTCCATTGACAACCATCATTCATCTATACAACGTACAACAAGCATGTCCGAATCAATATTGGTCATAGATACATAATAAGCAAATGGTTTTATAATGACCAACGTTAAAAATAAATTTAAAGAGGACATACCGTTGGTGTGTCACATCTTGCTCTAACACAAACTCTAGCTCTCTTAACATGATTTTGTTGACCGGCCTCACCATCAACATCGCCACCGGGGGCTGGTGTCGGAGAGCTTCTCTTTCCGGTTACTTTACTTGGTGGCCAACTTTCTCCAGGAGCTTCTTCTGTGCTATTTTCAAGGCTAGAATTGGCCGGATTCTCGATAGACAAACTCATGTTTGATTCACGACCGTCGCCGTTATTGATCCCTAAGGTCAAGCCGGCCTTGGTCAGCTCTTTGTCAGCGTTGGATTCTGCGCTCTTTGCGTCTTTCTCTTCCTTTTTGGAGATGCTATTACTTGGGGAAGAACTTCTTCTCCCGAGTGAAAGTGATACAAGCTCGCGTTCTTGATCAAAAGAACTCAAGTCTGTGGTCGTTGGCTTGCGATGATCAACCATGTTTTGGCTTTGAGATGGGTTGTTTGAAGGTTCTTGTTGAATTATGTCAAAGAATCTGAGTTTAAGAGATTTGTAATCACTCTCAATTCGTTCGAGCATCCCTTTAAGCTTCTCGTTCTCTTCCTTCACCTCGCTCATCTCGGCCTTGGCAGATTCAAGTTCTTGATGATCATCACTATCACCCTAATTAAAAGATCATTGAATAAAAATTTGATCAAACTTCTAATCAACTAAATCTAAAATTGTTCCATGGAGTTCTAACAAATCATAGCGATTTATACTTAGTTCTAACGAACGCGGTAAAGTTTTGAGTTCTTTATATTTATTTAGTTTTATCAATTACGATGATCGAAGCAATTATAAAGATACAAAAATCACATAAAAGCATTAAGAAATCCATAGAGGATAAACAACGTAACTGTACATTTTTTTTTTGTGATATAAATTCCTTCTTCCATTAACAAATACAGTTTCTGTGTATATATGTCCATACAGAGTTGGTATGTTTACCTTAGTAGCTTCATGGATTTGAACAGATCCAAAAACTTTATCCTTAAGAGGAGAATCTGAGATGGGTAACTTCAAAAGAACCTCCATTGGTAGAAATATAAGATCTTTGTCTTCTTCTTCTTCTTGTTTTGAATTTTCTTTTTCTCTCTTTGATATATCTCTTTTTTTTCTTCTCCAAAGACAAAATATCAAACCCTTTACTTATAGCCATATGTGTCTGTGTGTAAGTTTCTTCGAGGGGACCCAAAGCGTCAACACTTCAACATGTTCAATTTTTTAAATTTATTTTTATTGAATTTTGGTACCTTTTCCTCCAATCATATCTGTGTAATTTATTGTAAACTAACTAGCGAAAATAAATAATTTATTTCCTGACTTTGTTGATAATAATACTACTTCTCCGTTTTAGTAGGGTCAATTAAAACAAAATATCACAACTAGCTAGTACATAAAATTCTAAAAAATGTTTGATACAAAGTTAGCATAATTTACGAATCTTTTTGTGTGTTTCAATTTTTTTTAAAGCATGATTTTTTTTTTTTTTGGTATACATACTAGTGAATTCAATGGTATTTAAAATAAATTTAGTGAAGGATTTTTACATGAAACCTATGATGAATTTTAACAGAATATTAAGTATAACCTTCCTTCTTATTAATCGAACCAAGTGTAGATAAATAGAGTTTATATAATATGGAATTATGGATCTTGATTAGTAAATTAGAATATTATTGAAATGTCCAAAAGCAATAAATGTAATTCATATACGCATATATATAAGAAAGAGCCTAAATGTACGGCGTCAAATAGAGATTGTATAATGTGAAAGGATATGTCCTTGAAGCTTCATGGGAGAAGACTTGTATTTCTTCATGGCCTCACATCCACATGAGCATTCGTCAACTCTTTCAATCTTATATTCTTTCTTTATTTTTGTGTATTTATTAGTTCCTCTCTCATCAAACACATGTTTTTATATATCCAAGTCCTCATATATCGACAATATTCCTATATTGATATATAGTGAGAAAAATGACATTTCACTGTTCCGTTACTTATTCACTTAGGGTTTCTAACATTGTTCTGTATTTTATTTTCAACTTTTTCTATTTTTTAGTATAATTAGCAATCTTTCCTAAAAGAAAAGACTAAATAGGATGGGTTTTTTTTCTTCTAAAGAGGATGGTTTAAAAACAAATAAGATTGATATGCTATTAATTAATCAAACAAGTTGGTTAATCGTATAAATCGAAAACAAAGTTTGAAAATGAGTATTTTTATTTAAGATTCGAGTATAATTCAACAATAAGTCATTAAGAAACAAATCATCTAAAAGTCAAACCATGCAACAAGAGAAATGAAAAGAGTATTAGGCATTTGATATAATTAGTTGTTATATAGTATATGCGAACCTTGTTCATATGGTATAGGCCAAAGGGTGCGTATACCGGTCAATACGCTGGTCACACACGGTAATTATATGATTTTGTCAACTATTGACTTTGCTAATATATAAGAAGATTACTTGTTGTTTATTTTTTCAAATGTTGTTATCATATTCGTGTTACATCTAAATTCATTTTTATAACCAATTAACATGCGAATGTCAAATGCTTCACATAGTTGATACTTTGCTTGTCAAATTTCGTCAGTGACGTAACGTTGCATGGCGTTGAAAAAGAAACATGCATTATTTGTTATGTTCTCCTATAGTTAGTGTCAACTCTTATACATATTTTTTTGAGTAATATTTATAATTATACACATGAGCATTGTATTCGTAAAGAGTAGTATCCGTAATATTACGAGAGAACATATTAAGTAGCTAACCATTTTTCTTTAATTATTAATGTAAGCTTGCAGATTGTCGTCTTTCCTGTCTCCAATTCTTCAAACCTGACAATTCATTTACTAGTTCTAATCTCAAATCAATACTATAATTGTTTGTAGTGCCGTACCTAACTATAACTATAAGAAGAAGAGAGACGATTTTTTAAATTGTGATTGCAAAGCAATTAATAATTTATTTCGTGAATATGATTACATTTACATATAGGCCAAGTTGAATTTTGAATACTTAATTAGTCTCGATCCAAGTTTCCATTTATTTAATCTTTTGGGGATCTGAGCTCCCACAGATTTTTTCTATTTTTAATCTCAAACAAATCTTAGTAAAACATTTTGATCAACTCAACTTACATCATCCATTTTTTTTTGTAAATTTAGATAATAGTAAACAAAAGACTTTCTTGTTAATTATAATAAATATTGTACAGTTCATTATATGGTTAAGTAAACAATCGTGGTCGCAATGTGGCTTTTGTTTAATTGATTAAATAAAACAGCTAACTATTGAATTAGTATTGAGATATTACATTGGCACGTCCCACATGATTAATTCTCCATTAACTAAGTAAAATTATTTAGAAATTACCAATTACATGGAAATTTCAAAGTATGTTATGATAATTTTGTATGCCATTACTCTTTAATTACCTGTAATTTCCATATATCTTTTTAATGTAAAACTGTTTCATTTAATATTGTGATGCGATGACTAAACCCTTCAGTTTTCATTTTCAAGAGTGATGCTGAAATTTAAATACTTGTATGTGGAAAACTATTGATCATGCTTAATCATCCATAACAAGACAAAGGAAGATTATCAACCTTTTAGTCTTATTTAGACAATAAAAAGTCTTTGGTCAGCTGTATTAATTAATTTTCTTCTAATTAGCGATAACTTTCTTTATTCAGTTCCAGTGTAGCTTAGTTATGTTCGTTCATATGGCCTCACTGTTTATTATAATAAATATGCAAGAAATTGAGTTTTTCAGACAATGAGTGAATGAAAGGGTCAACTAACATGTCTCTGAGACTCGCAAAGACAGATCAGCGATCTTGACCTGAACTTTAACACAATAGGTTTAATATCTGGTTAACATATCCCAAATAAAAATGTTAGTGTATGAGATGTTTGTTATGTGTATTGTGAGGAAGAGTTCGTATTTTTTGGGTCATCAATCAATCAACTTGCGAATATATTGTATAATATATCTACTACTACTGACCTAAGGTCAATGGTTTGGATTTAGACATTGAAATTAAACAAATAAAGAAAGAAAGATTGATAAAGTTTAAAGACAACTTGGAGATTCTCTATATTGAAGTTTTAGGTCAATGGTTTAAGATTGGTCATTGAATGAATGATATTTTTATTACAACCATTTATTTATTCATTGTTGGTTAAGGCTCCCATCTCTATGCATTATCCAAGATATTTGAATTCAAAAATTAGCGGAATTATAGTATATTTGATTAAGTTGAAGGAATCATAGTACATGTACATGTCCATGTACACCTCGTAGTACTTACTACTTAGTTATTCTTCTTCGTGGAAATGTGATAAGCATATCGATCGGCCGGTTTAAATTCGAATTTTATATACCAACTCTATCCGGTTAATTGCTACATCGTTGAATGTTCAAATTAGGAGATCATTTTGTGGAATATATTCAAAGTACTTTGTCCTAACTACACAGCTAGCATACAATCTCAACACAATATAAATGGGTTTAACGAAAAATGTTTGCAATGGTTTCTTTTCTAATTTTCTTCAGGCCAATATTTTATTTTATATATAATCCAGGCAAAAATCTATGAATAATGAAGTAATGAACCAAAAATAACAACTTCTCAAACGAATTAGTATGTCCCATATTTTTGCATTCAAACAAAAAAAAGAAACAATATATTTTGCTAAAATGGTGTTGCGTTGCTTTTTATCATTACACATGGAGATCATTTTTAAATTAAATCAACAACAAAAATTTTGATCGAAATTGAAACTGAAAACAAATTATAAACCCTAGTTCTCGGATCCGAAACACACCATTCATATATAACAAGGTCAAGTCTATTTTATTTTGGTTACTATTGGAAAGAAAGAAGTTGAACGGAGACCAAGATTTAAACTAAAACCAGTAAAGATTTTTCCTTTTTTCCTGTTTTGCTTTCCTTTTTTGTTTTTTTATGTACAAAGAAGAATTTTAAACTAAGAAAAAAGAAACTGATTTGAAATCTGAGAAGTGAAATGGATATAAAAGCTCTCAATCTTCAACCTTTGGGCCTCTATATAATGCTCCGACTACGTTCGTATGATCCTCTGGTTTATCATCCCTTTCTTGCAGCCATGCATAACCTTCCTTCTCCTCTTCACTTCTCAAAATCTCCTCGTCCTCTGGAAACAACATAAAACTTTTAATCTATATAGTCCAAGTTATTGAAAGACTATCACTAATTAGTATATGTATAGAGAAGCTGACCTAATGAGAGTTTGTCGAAAGGGAAGTCTAGAAAATAAGTGCAATCTTCTGGATTGGAGTAAGGAGGGCCGAGCACGTCTAGCACCGCGCAAGCTGTTTCCGCTGTGAACCTATGCATGTTCCCGCCATCTTCAGGATACAAAATCGAGGCGTTGCATGGTGCGGTGAATGTTGAGTCCACCTTCAGTTTTGCTAGCCGGGTTTTTGGATCTCTCACTACAGTTGGTGTAAGACAAAGTGATTTAGTTTTACTTGCAGCCTAAAACAGAGACTAATACAACTTCGCTAGGTAACAAACAGGATGGCAAAATTCTCTTTTTAAAATGTGGGAACAACCAGAGACATATAAAGTCACTATGCATAAAGTGGTATACCATATCCCCCTACATCAACGTTCCGCACCATTATGAGTATTACCAATCATAGCCCATAACGTAACGTTCTACCAAATTGGGATATATTGGATCTTCTACACAAAAATTTATAAGCAATTATATTTACTTTCCACTTCTATCAGAATCCACATTCTAGTATCTAATGAACCCTAATAAACCAACGATGAGTTGACTGCAAGGGTAACAATAACAAACAAGTGTTTACAGCTTGACAAAAAGTTTTCTTGGGATGAAAGTAAACTTACTTGGAGCATCAACCACCCAATCATACGACTTGATGTGCATTGTACCAAAGAGAATCTTACTAAACACTGTCATCCCAGGATGGTTATGAAGTGGAATGACGCCAGAAGGCGGCAAACAGAATATACCAATCTACGATAAAAAACCCTAATCATGATTACTTATACCACAAGAAAGAGGACAAAGTACTGGAGAGAGTGTTTACCGAGAATTGAGCACATTCGTGTAGATGCAGATAGGTTATCGGCGGCGAAGAACCATTCTCCGTTCGGACGGTTGGTCGGAAATACGGCATGGTCGGAGTTAAACCGACATCCTCTGGTTTCATATTGTCTGATATTCAAAAAAAAAAAAAAAAATCAAATTTATGGAAGAGAAAAAAAAACAGAACAAGAAAAATGGGGAACTCAAGTAAGTATTATATATACCAAGAATATCTCGAAGCTGTTGGATTTTATCAAGAGAAGGAACAACACCAGGACCACAATCAGAGAACACTTGTTTGCAAGTATTAAAGAGCCGCCGCACCGGCGTGATCTCATCCGCCGGAGAATCAATCTTCTTCCGTCGCCACGTCATCATCATCTTCTTGCTCTTCTTGTTCTTGTTCTTCTTCTTCTTCTTGTTATTAACAGAATTGGGATTAGCCTTACATTGATTCTTAGTAGAAATCAATTCCAAAACATCTTTCTCTGGTTTCATCTCAAACCCCATAAATCTCACCAAACTCAACCAAATAAAGAAATCTGAATCTGGGAATGGTATGAAAGAAGAAGAAAACAAGAGTGAAGGGAAGAGATATAAAACAGGGAAAAAATTAAAAAAATAATAAGAAAGAGAAAAGAGAAGAAGATAGAATAGAGAGATAGAGAGGGAGAGATACCATTACCAATACAAAACCAGGGGCCATTCCTTTTTTTCTTTTCTTTTCCTATGGGCTGTGTTTTCTCAAACAGCGGATTCTTTTTTTTTCTATCCGTTTCGGTCTTCGCAACAGGGCAATTTTGGAAACATACCTTATTTCCTACTTGCTCGCCGGTTTACTATAACCCGGCTATGCTTAACCGGATTTTATTTATCTCACAATGCAATGAATTACTGAAATATTTCAATCACGAATTGTTGATTCTTCGATATGAACGTATTCACTGAATAATGTTATACATATTACACTAATATTCGTTGATTTAATTTTGAACTACTTTTGAAATCGGAGGATGGTTTTGTTTTGTGTGTTTTGCTTTAAGTGAAAGCATTTGTATGCGTAGTTTTAGGAAATGCCGAGTTTGGCCCTGAAGTCTATTTTTTTCCTGCCCGGATTATATGGGAATGAGTACTAGGAATCTTTGTTTTTGTTATTACTATTATATTTGTTCTTTTGATTTGATATTTTATATTTGGCATCATTTGGTATTCTTTGACAATATTATTTGTTTATTTTCAAGGCGTATTATTTTCATTTATAATCGAGATCTTTGACGACACTATTAAGCAATTTTTGAGCACGTATCAAATCGTAATTGCTTGCCAAATCGGAACATGTTTTATTATTTGGTTCCAACTCTATTCTCTCTGCTGATATTTTTCTTAATATTCAGTATTTTTAAAACATGTATAATATAATTGTCAATTTGTCATCTACACTTACTTAAACACATTTTTAGTTATTCGTATTAGCTACATATCGGTCAAAACACTAAAAAAATATTGAAGCCTAAGTTTGTATAGGTGAAGTGAGCAAATGCGGAGTGTGGACTATGTACGTACGTAGTACAAGAAGCAGCTGTTTTCGCTTGCTCTTTTATATAAACTTGTTTTTTTCATTACACAACACACAAAAAAATATATCCTTACAAATTAGAGTTCCCTTCTTTTTAATCATTTTTACCAACCTTAATTCTTTATTTCCTGAACTAGATTAGAAGCAAAAAATCAAAATGTTGGACAAAAAAAAATTGTCTTAGAGACATCTTAAAATAGAAATGTTTCTAACAGCGTTTCCCGACTCTGCAATCAAGTGCTCCGGCGTATTTGGTCAGCTTAGAAACAGCCAATCCATGTTTTGGTTTGATCATTTGTTGCCTCGTATGCGCACATTTGTATTTAGGATCACCAGATTGTCTGAAATAAGCTCCGTTCATGAACACGTCTTTCTCAGATCTCCAGTTCCAGTGTTTCCACTCGTCCTCTGATGCATAATCCCTCTTTGTCACCTACGTAGACATTTATTCGTATTTATAAGTTTTACAGTCTACTTCATTTGGTGCTATATGTAATGTAACCCAATATGTTTTCATTTTTGCACGTACCTCTCTGTAATGAGGTTTGTGTGGAGGAGCTATGAATCGGTTTCCATGGCTGAGAATAGTAGGACCTTGACTACCTCCGATAGCGTAAAGCTCCCAATGAGTGTAGTCGTTGTTCACAACATGAACAAATCCCCATCGGATCCTAGGCATCCTCTGTACAAGTCCTTTACCGAAATGGTTATAAGCCACTGTGACTTGCATATGCTTGTCCGCTTCGTTCGTGTTTTGAGCACCAAGCAACATCACCTACACAAAGACAAATATCCCGGAAAAAAAATTTGCAAATTTAGTGGTTAGTGTCAATGATCAATATAATTTTAAGTATACTAATAAATATATGGATGCTCACATCGTTGTGGTGAGTGAAATGAGAGTTGGAGATTGTAATGGCAGTGGATCCAACGATGGCATCAATGAGTCCATCTTGACATTTCGACATTGAAATATGGTCAAGCCAAATTTTAGACGAACCATAGATCGATATACCGTCTCCATCGGCTCTAGTCCTCATTCCGAAATGGTCTACCGAGTCTCGGATCATACCACCGCTACTCTCGAAAATGTGGTGAATATGGAGTCCGTGGATAATGACGTTTCTCACAAACTGCATTGTGATCCCCGCGCCATGCGCTATATGGACATCAGCTCCTCGTGCATCGATCGTCTTGTGGCTATTAATCAGAAGCTCTTGGCTTAAACGAATGTGCATATCGTTCTTGAAAATGATCCAGAGAGGTTCCTTCTGAATCACGGCGTGACGCAATGTCCCGGGTTTAGGGTTCACCATGTCTTCGTCAAGGTTGCTTGTGACCACGTAGATGCGTCCGCGTTTTCCTCCGGTCGTCCTGTGACCGAACCCTCGGACACAACGTGTAAGCTTCTTACGACGCTTGGCCCAATCCGAACGGCAACGCCAACATTTATCTATAGGGTTACTTGCGGTACAGGGTCCCCTAAGCTTACTCCATTTTCCTTTGCCTTTACCTCTTAGGCTTCGTCTCGTGCTGTTTGTCGAGCTTCCAAGCATTTCAATGCCCTCTTTTTGCTCATCTTCTTCCTCCTCTTTGTTCTCCTCTATGTTCCCCTCTTTGTTCCCCTCTTTGTTCTCCTCTATGTTCTCCTCTTGGTTCTCCTCTATGTTCTCCTCTTTGTGCTCCTCTAAGTTCCCCTCTTCAGGCTTAGCACTGCCATCTTCCTCGATCTCCGTAACATCAGTAGAGTTACTACATATACATATATATACCAAAACCAAAACAAGAATCAAACATTAGTAATGTTTTTGGGTTCAACTCAGAGATACTGACTTGACTTACTCGTAATGACGCTCATGAAAGTGATCGACAACTTCGTAAGGATCAGAATGATAAGCTTTTAGAGTGAATTCTCGGGCTGCGTCGGCTCGTTTCGACCAATACTCGTCCAACTCAGAAATGTTGCCTCGTATGGTCGGAATAAGACCGGCAATACAAAACATAAACATCAACTTTAACAGCCTAGCCATCTCCATCTTTCTTTCTTTTTCTAATTTCTTTTCTCAGAAAACAGTTTTGACTATTTAAACAATCTTTTGTTGTTCCCTTTGTTTTCTTAAGGGGTTTAGATTTAAATGGAGAATTACTAAGCTTTCGGTCGTTTTTTTTTTTTTTTGGTTTCTTTCTTTGAGGGCCTAAAGCCTTTAGATGATGATTTTTTTTAAAATGTGAAGGTTTGGTGTTTAAATAAACTTGATTAAGAAGTAATCTCCAATTTTAGGAATTTACCGCTAAGAATGGAGAGCCGTCATTTTTTATTTGTGGATAGTTTCTATATTTTCATTTTTAACTTCATTATTTTTAGCTCCCAAAATTTTCCTTCGTTTATATTTGGGATAAAAATAGGAAGATCTATCATATATCTTAACTTAAATTTATTTCTGAGTGAAAAACATATATTGTATACAGATTTATGATTCTAGATTTTTTTAGAAAAAATGATTTGAAATTCATAATGTTGCTAACGTATTTTTGTAAAATAAAAACTAAAATGGTGCGAACATTTAAAAAAAAAAAAAAGAACTTCATGAGGCTTTGATTCGTTGCCACAGACAAATTTAGCTTTCAAATGTTCCAAAGTTTCTCGGTTCAATCTAAAATGGTAAGCATTTAATTTGCTTCCTTCTTGTAAGAAGCAAACTAAAAGAAAGAGACAGTTTCTGATTTAGCTAAAAAGAGAAAAACAAAATTTCCATATATGTTTACAAACGTAAAATGCTTTGTTTTCAATCTTCAAACCAATTTTAGAAACAAACAAATATTATGCTTCATGATTACTTCCTTCTCAATTCACTTCTTTATTCTCTTGGTTTTCTTTTTATTCTCATATATCATATGTATATGCATGCGTATGATCTTGTTGAAAATATCGGCTAGTTAATTAGATAATCATATATATATATATAAGCATTATGTTCATATGTGTATGTCGTATATAAGAATTACTATCATTACTTTATAAAGACATTTAATGGTATTGGTACCTTTTACACTATATCTTATCTGACTGGAAACGGTCATCAATTATAAAATTGGCTATAAATTATATATAAGCATATTAATAAAGCGGTTTGTAATTAAAAAGGAAAAATGAGTTTAAGTATCTAAGGTAAGAAAAAATCAAAGGCTATAAAACTAAAGTTCTGTTGGAGCATATTTAGCTCTTCTTTGTTCATGCAAAAGACAAATTAAACAGCCTTCTCTTTTTATCTTTTTTTTTTTTTGTTCTTTTCTTATAAAAAAAAATAAATGTGGCGAGAAGAAAACACCATTTATTTTGAAAGAAAAATAAAATATCGTAGTAATTACTTTTTGTAAATATGATAATTTTAGGCAACCTCAACTCAACAAGAATTCTAGATAAAAGGGAAACAAAATTATTCTTAATTAATTTCAAGCAATACATACAAGAAAAAAAAAAAATTAAACCCAGAGTTTTTGTTGCCTTCGAAACTAAATTTTCCATTGTGGAATCAAAAACCCTGAAAGAAAAAGCCATCGACTTTACACATTATATATATATATATATATATATATATGCCATAAGATCAAACAGTTTCTTTCCATTAATTCGGAAGAAACTGTTCCTTCGAGTTTTTTTTTTAATTTTAGTTTTGTTTCAGATCTTTCATTGTTTGTTTTGGTTTTTTTATTGTATGAAAATTAAACAATTTCAGACAATTTAAAAAACCAGAACAAAAAATAAATAATGATCTCTTGGCTTGATATCTACCATGTTGTTTCAGCAACTGTGCCTCTCTATGTCTCAATGATCTTAGGTTACGTCGCTGCAAAACATCTAGAGCTCTTCACACCCGAGCAATGCGCAGGGATCAACAAGTTCGTCGCCAAATTCTCTATCCCTTTGCTTTCATTTCAGATCATCTCTCAAAACAACCCCTTCAAGATGAGCCTTAAACTCATCCTCTCTGACGTTCTCCAGAAATTCTTAGCACTCGTTGTGTTAGGCTTGGTTTTAAGATTCTGGCATCCGACAGGAGGAAGAGGAGGAGGTAAACTAGGTTGGGTCATAACCGGGTTGTCTATATCCGTGTTTCCAAACACTCTCATTCTCGGAATCCCAATCTTGACTGCCATATATGGAGATGAAGCTGAGAGTATCTTGAGGCAGATTGTTGTGTTGCAGAGCTTGATTTGGTACTCCATCTTGCTCTTCTTGTTTGAGCTTAATGCCGCTAGGGCGAAAACATCTCCTGGAGCTTCTTCCAATATAGATCATGCAGGTATATAACTTAATTAAAAACTCTTTCCGTTTTTTAAATTAACTTTACCCTAATTAAAAAAAAACTTGGTTTCTTGTAAAACAAGGCAATGACAATGAAGAAGTAAATATAGAGGAAGAGCCAAAAGAAGAAGAAGAAGAAGAAGAAGAAGAAGAAGAAGAAGAAGCAGCGATAGTGAGAACAAGATCTACTGGAACTATGAAAGTTGTATTGAAAGCTTGGAGAAAGCTTATAATCAATCCTAATACATACGCAACATTGATCGGAATCATTTGGGCCATTTTGCATTTCAGGTGTGAAAACAAAATATTCACCTTTCTTCAATCTTCTTTTTACGAAATGGAGCTTATTATTTTAGTTCAATCTTTGATAAATCATCTTCCACATCTTAAAGATTCAATCTTTATCATCATCGTATACATACATCAACACTTGTTTTTTCTCTCTTTTTTTCAAAATAAAAAAAGAAAAGCGATAAGTTAGTAGTGGCATCTCCTATTTTAAGCTTTCTGTTTGATCATTTTTCGCATCTCTCTACTAAATTCTATATATTTATTTAATCAAAATGTGATAGTCAAGCTCAAGCATTTGCTATATAGATATTTTAAAGTTTATAATAACATTAAATAAATATCACTCATGTTTTTTTTTTTGTAAAAATATAATATACTCTTTTTTGTTCAAACAGATTGGGATGGAAATTGCCAGAGATGATCGATAAATCGATACATATGATATCTGATGGAGGATTAGGAATGGCAATGTTCAGCTTGGGTAAGTATCTTAATGCACTGCACTGCACACACACACACAAAAAAAAAGAAAAAGAAAATGAAGTTGATAAATTATAATAAGAATGAAACAGGTCTGTTCATGGCATCACAAACTAGTATCATAGCATGTGGAGCAAAAATGGCGATGATAACAATGATCCTCAAGTTCGTATTAGGACCAGCTCTTATGATTGCTTCTGTGTTTAGCTTCAGATTACGTGGTAATCTCTTCAAAGTCGCAATACTACAGGTACCAATTAAAAACATTATAGTTTGATCCATTAACTAACAAAACCACATTACAAAATATGCATTTACTCCTTGGTTGCATGTGTGTTGCAGGCTGCATTGCCTCAAGGAGTAGTGCCATTTGTTTTTGCAAAAGAGTATAATCTTCATCCGGAGATCGTTAGTACTGGGTAATCTCTATATTATTTCTTCTCTAATTTTTTTTGTTATTTTTTTTGCTTCTTGTTAATAAACTAAACAATGGTTTTGGTTTATTTTTTCAGGGTAATATTTGGAATGTTAATTGCCTTACCAACAACTTTGGCATATTATTTTCTTTTGGACATATGAATATGACATGTTATTTATATATAGGCGTATTTTCCCCATTTAAATAGATTGGACTCTTTTTTTTTTTTGAAATATATAAATTGGATTTATTTGGTTTTGGAACTTTTCATAAAAGCTAATGTCAACCATTCACTTTATTCTATATCATTTTTTTTTTCTTTCTCCGGATATGAATATGAAATACAAAAAACAAAAAAAATTGTCAACTTATTAAATCAAAATTTCTGAGAGAAAATTTTGCAACAAACTAATAAAAATATATTTATAGAAGTAAATCTAATAGAACACCATTTAAAGAAATCCTATAACACATTAACCAAAACATATATATAGCATAGAATGTAAAATCTAATCCACAATTTTAGATGGTTATGTAATTCTAAGAAAAATATATATATGTATATAGATGGATCATTCTCTAAAATACCATCATTTTTGTTTTTAGAACAAAAATACCACAAGACTAAAATTAAATTTTAAATTTTCAAACTCAAAAGCAGAAATTTTAAATTTTTAAAATTAGATATAGACAGAGTCAAATACTCAAAAGCAGAAATAATTTTATAAAAAAAAAAATTGGAGGAATTTTTATTATAATAATCCAACGGCTCTCCGCCTGCTTGCCACGCAAAAGAAAATGGAAAAGGCCAAACTAAATATAAAATAAGAAACAAATAATAATAAAAATGCCTTGGACAGTGGGGAATAAATATATCGACGGCTGTAAAAGAGGTAACACCGACTCAAGTAATATTGATCTAACGGCTGAGGTATTTTTGCTTGATTAGCAGGGCAAAAATAATAAAAATAATTAGGGTTTTCTTCTTCCCCTTATATACACATCAACACATCACCAATATTTTTTCTTCACTAATTCTCTTTCACAGCTCTCTCCTCCTCAACTTCGGAATCTTCTCAACTTGTTCGATTTTTTCCAGAAGCAATCATGGTTAAAGGTCCAGGACTCTACACCGAAATCGGCAAAAAAGCCAGAGGTACTACTCAGCTCGTTTCGATCCATTTTCTTATCTCTTTTGACGCGAATGCGACTCTGTTCTTGAGATTTCGTCAACATTGAGGTGTTTTTTTTTTATACGAATCTTAGGTTTTGGGTTGAGATTTTTGAGAATCCGTTTAGGTTTTATGTATCGGTTGTGCTTAGGTCGTTGAAATTTTTTGTGGATTCCTGTGTTGATGAGCTGATTGATGGTTCCTGTGTTCGTTTCCGTCGATTTCATGCTATTTGATAAGAGTAGTTTCTCTGGGTTTCAATGTTTGGGTCTCTCGTTTGTGATAGCTGTATTTGAAATTTCGTCGCGGATCTGGAAAATGTCTATCAATGTACAGTTGAGCTTTTCTATATCTGTTTTGAGTCTCTTTTGAGATTGTTGTTTGTGGATGAGTTTTGAATCTTAAAAGATATTTGAATGTTAATTTTTTTTGTAGATTTGCTCTACAAGGACTACCAAGGCGACCAGAAATTCAGTGTTACCACTTACTCTTCCACTGGTGTTGTAAGTTTCCTTTATTTTTTCCTGAGTCTGTTCTTTCTACTTTGTTTGCCTCTTTGTTGGTGAGATGTGTAATGTGTTGGCAGATTTCTTGAGTTGAGGTTTGTGTTTTTTATTAACTTTCTGTTTAGATTTTAATTCTCTTCCGGTTAAGTTCAGTTACCAGCAATTGTGGTTGAAACTCAGGATATTTTGAAGTTTCTTTTGTGTAATTTGGTTTCATTGTTTATCATGAACTTGACTCTTTCTTGTGTGTTACCTTTTTATGATTTTTCAGGCGATCACTACAACTGGAACAAACAAAGGAAGCGTGTTTTTGGGTGATGTTGCTACCCAAGTGAAGAACAAGAACTTCACTGCTGACATCAAAGTTTCAACTGATTCTTCTGTAAGCATATCTGAATCCAGTAACCATCCTGTTGACTTATGTGCTATTACCTTTGTTTTAGCCTTTTGATTGCTGCTTAAGTATTCACTTGACAGTTTGTGTGTATACTATAAATATTTTGCAGCTTCTGACCACTTTTACCCTTGATGAGCCTACCCCTGGAGTTAAGGCAATATTTAGTGCCAAGTTACCTGATCAGAAATCTGGCAAGGTATATAACTAATTAACTACCCTGTTTGTCTAGATTGCAACAGTTTGTTTGATATGTTGGAACATGTATAATAATGTTCTCTTTTAAACAGTTTGAGCTGCAGTATTTGAACGATTACGCCGGTATCGCCACCAGCTTGAGCTTGACAGGCAGCCCAATTGTCAATTTCTCCGGTGTGGTTGGAACCAATGTTGTGGCTCTTGGTACTGACGTTTCATTCGAAACTGAATCCGGCAACTTCAAACATTTCAATGCTGGTGTGAGCTTCACCAAGGACGATTTGATTGCTTCCCTCACTTTGTAAGTGCCTCCACCATAAGAAATTCATTGAATTGAGCGTTTTAATGCTCTGCTGGTTTAAAACAAAGTTTCTTTTTCCTAAAACTGTTTTTGCAGGAATGACAAAGGTGAGAAACTGAATGCATCGTACTACCACATTGTGAACCCGTTGAGCAACACCGTGGTTGGAGCTGAGGTTAGCCACAACTTCACAACCAAAGAGAACGCCATCACTGTTGGAACTCAACACGCGATTGACCCATTGACCACAGTGAAGGCAAGAGTGAACAATGCTGGTATAGCCAACGCACTGATTCAACATGAGTGGCGTCCAAAGTCGTTCTTCACGGTTTCTGGGGAGGTTGACTCTAGGGCGATCGAGAAGAGTGCTAAGGTTGGGATTGCTCTCGCTCTCAAGCCTTGAGAGAGAAGAGAAAGCCAACTTCAAATGGGGGCCCTGAATGAAGGGGTAGAATAGTTATTTCGTTTTCGTCTTCAAGTCTTTGGACAAATCTGCCTGGCTTTCTAAAACAATCGTTCATTTGTTTTTTTTTTTTTGGTTTTTGGTTTTCGGTGTTTGGATTTGTAGAAAATAAGAAGAAAAAAGAAAAAAACTATTGAAAGGATCTTCTCAAGAAGATGGAACCATTAAGATCCTTTTACTTGGTTCTCTCTCTAATTATTTTTGTCTGCTAAAAAATACTCTTTGTTCCACTAATTCCGAGTTATTTAGTGGATTTTTCTAAGAGATTCTTACAGGTCTGATTCATTTTTATAAGCATTTTGTCTTGTTGGTCAGATTTTTATTGTTTCATAAGCATTCGTCCGCAAGAGACTTGATTTTGTCCGATTTGTTTCAGTCCAATTTGTTTTTTATAATGCTTTGTTTGGCTTATGCATAATGCCAATGGGTCCAAAATTAATTATCCGGATATATCAAATAATATTCAAGCAAAACTCGTGGTCGCTTCCATGTTTTTGATAGGATTAAAAAAAAAAAAAAAAAAACAATTAGTAATTGAAAATTTTAGTTGTGCGTGGATCAAAGTCTAATTCGAACTTGTCAAATCCAGAGCTATGGTTTACGGAAAAATTGTATCAAGAAAATTGTTTTAGTGATGAGGCTTTTGAATAGCAAGAAGACTAAGCCTGTAAAAAAAAGCAACAATATTTCGATCATCGGCCTCACAAACTCATTATCCTCAGCAAGACACAAAGTGGTTTTTATGATACGAGGGGTCGAAGATGCAATTTCAATACATTTTTACCACGTTTCAATAGATTAAGCTTTCAGCAGGCAATGTAAAAGCTCGAATCACAGAGAAATTCTCTGTAAGACAAAATCAAATTTCCATAGACAACCCAATTGGATTCACCGTTCTCCATCGTTTTTTACATTAATCGATTTAAGAGTTACTGTAACATCGGTTAAAAATACCTCCTTGCCGCTTTAAAACGATAAAAGCTTGAGCTTTTTTAGCTTTTTTTGTTGTTGTGCCTTTGTCCACCACGCATGAGCTATGTAGTTGCTCCTTTGGGCTTTGGAGACGGAATCTGATGTCGATAAGGCGAAGAACCATGTTGACCATGAGGACTAGATAGTGTTCGAAATACGGGTTGGTGTTGCCCGTTTCTTGATCCAAATCCGCTTCCTCCCTGCGATCGACCTGACCCATTTTTCAAACGCTCGGCTTGCATCGTCTGAAAGTAGTAAGAAGAGCTTGCCATGTCTTTGAGATGCGGAAGTGGTTTCAGTGCTCCTACAACATCACTCATCTTTGGCCTAATCTTGGGATCACGGCTAAGACATTGTGCAGCCAGCTGAGTCACCTTTTGAGCACCTTTAATCGAGAAATGACCCTCTAGCCTCGGATCAAGTAACCGGTAAAACCTTCTTTTGTCAAGGAGATGCGGTCTTGCCCACTCCACCAAGTTGTGCTCACCGTTTGGGCGGTTTTTGTCCATAGATCGTCTTCCAGTCAGCATTTCAAGCAGAACTACCCCAAAACTATAAACATCGCTCTTTGATGTCAAGTGACCTTAAGGAGTTGAATAGGAAGCTAATCAACAAAGATGCAAACATCTAATATTTCAAACCAACGAAAATGCATGAAACCAAAGAGGACTCACCGGTCATTACATACTCTGGAGCAGCGTAGCCATATGTCCCCATAACTCGAGTAGAAACATGGGTTTTGCCTTCATCAGGAGCATCTTTGGCCAGTCCAAAGTCTGATAGTTTTGCATTGTAGTCCTGAAAATGGGAATTATTGATTACAGTTGTTAGAAGCAAAGCAAATATAACATGTTGATGGTAAGGAGTTAGATACATACTGCATCAAGTAAAATGTTTGATGTTTTGAAATCTCTATATATAACAGGCTTTAAAGCTTCTTCATGGAGGAAACTGAGACCTTTTGCAGCACCTAATGCAATCTTCATCCGGATAGACCAAGGAAGAGGCAAAGACCCTTCAAACATAAAAGCACAAGTAAGGCAAACAAATTACACACTGACAAATTTATAAGGTTGTGGGTATTCATACTTCTGAAAAGGTGATTCTCCAAACTTCCTCGAGGCATAAACTCATATACAAGCAGCCTTTGATCATCTTCAATGCAATAACCAACCAGCTTAACTAGATTTGGATGGAGAAGGTTACCAAGGAAATTAATCTCAGCCTGCAATTACAACAAGCAGAGGAACACATTAAAAGGGAAAAGTGATAAAAGAGAAAGAAACAGAAGAAAAAGGGTTTCTTACAAGCCATTCTTTGTGACCTTGAAGTCCATCAGGATTTAAGGTTTTGACAGCAACAGTAAGGCCAGTACCAGGCTTGACAGGAGCAGTTCCGTTTTCTTCAATCCATCCTTTAAAGACACAACCAAAACCACCTTCTCCGAGAAGGCTTTCCGGTCTGAAGTTTCTAGTGGATAGCTTAAGATCATTGAAAGTAAACTTCCTGAGGTGAGAAGAAATATTAAGTTCTTCACTGACCACTGGAGTTGATGAAGAGCTCTCTGCATTACTAGTTGTTGTGGAAGAACGTGGACCAACTGGTTGATCATTTGATTTCTCATTTGCCGACTTGCTTTCAACTGTAGTAACTAAAAAACGAACACAACCCACAAAACTCAGATTCATTGAGAGAAAGTAAAATGTAACCAAATGGGTATTACTACTCCAACTACAATCAAGTTTAAGCTCAGTTCAAAAAAAATGACTCTTTAACTCCATGTCCCTATAATTGGTAACAAAGAAGCTTACAAAAAGGGTAAACTAACAAGCATCACGTGAAGTTTGCACCAAATTGTAAATATAAAACCCTAGATGGAAAGAAGACAATTATAGAATTAAAACCCACACAACAAGATTTGTCATTTTATCACTCATTTGTAACACAAACAGCAGTCAGAAATCCCTCTCCCTCTCAGACAGACACAAGGAAAGCCAAAAATGGAAAAAGCAGTGATAATTTTTAGAGTTGATTTACCAGTGCTAGTAGTGCCACAGATAGAGGAAGAAGAAGCATCAAGGTCAGATTTTGAAGGTACGCAACCAATCATAAACCTAAACTTAACCCAACAACCACTAGCTGCTTCTTCTTCTTCTTCTTCTTCGTGATATCTACTGCTATCATCACCATTGATGTTCTTCTTCTTCTTCTTCCTCTTATTCTCAGTCTCTTTAGATTTATCCGATTTCGAATTCTCTTTAGCTGCTTTTTTAAGAGCATCAGGTTCCTCCAAACCCATCTCTCAACAAACACAGAGAAAGACTTTGATTTATTTGATCAGAACAACCACCATAGTTTCCCCCAAAATAAAAAACCCAGACGAAATGAGAGAGAAAAACAAAGATTTGCAGGGAAAAGGATTGATTTATTTTTTCTGGGGTGAAAAAAAGCAGTGAGAGGTGAGATTCACTGGGAATGGATCAAACCCCAAGTCGCGGAATTTTAGTCAAAAAAGGGGAATTGATGTCTGCGGAGAAGGAGAGAAAGAGAAGATGAGCAGAAGAGAAGACTTAAGAGTATGGAGAGAGAGAGAGAACCCAGCAAAGAGCAAAGAAAAAGTGAGAGATTTTTTGGTTTTTGACATGTGCTTCAACAGTAACTACATTTTCGTACCTTTTTGTTAATCACCGGTTTGTTTTTCTCATTACTGTAATTGATTGATTATTTCATTATTAAGAAGGTGTTGTTCTTGGTTTACAAACCTCTCCAGGATTTGTGTTCTGAGTGTTTTATTTTTGTCTCCTTGGAACCAATTATCAACATTTGTTTATTCTTTTGGACAATATTAATAATAAAAGGTACGAATCAAATTCCATTTCCTTTTTTTTTTTTTAATTCTTTCTTCTTTTTCGGGTTACGTGACTACCCCAGTTTTTAAATCATTATTTGTTTTTCTTTATGAGGAATATTCATAAAAGCAACAACTAATCAAAGCTTGCATAATTTTCATTTTCGCTAATCCAATTGTTTAAAACAATTCTACAAAAAAAGAAAAAGAATGAAATGAACATTATAGTTTTTACTCAATTAGAAACAACTAAAATCAAAATTTTGTTCCAAAATAATGGATGGATTAGGAAATAGGAATATCATCATTCATTTGTTTAGTCACCCACTCTGTTGGCGTTTAGCTTTTGCCATTAGAGCCGGTGTTCTTGCTGAAGGGCCAAAGTTTAACAAGACGCTCCAGAACGGCGGCGCTTTTGGAGAAGTAACCGGAGAAGCCTGCTGGAGTTGACGGCGGAGGGAAATCCTCGGCTGGCATTGCAAATGGACGTATCAGCTTCTCCATTGTCTCCAGGGTCAAACATGAACCAACCTCTTGAAGCCTCTCTGGTCCCATTATCGGAAGTGTGTGTTCCCTGAGCAACGATTCTGCTTCCTCGTCCTTCTTCTGATATAATGTAACAAAGAAAAAACTATTAGCACTTGTTTTTACTAAAGGGGACTCATGCCAAACCATAAATTAAAGAGTCTGTCTTTGCTCTTTTACCTCTAAGGGAGACAAATCTGCGCCACGGCTAAATGTCAGTTCGATTCTGAATCGTTTCGGGTCTTCTAGAGATATCTGCAGGCAACAAAAATTTTTTGTTTCAGACACAAGTGAATAACTTGAACTCTTGAAGGCAAGAGTGAGAGAGAAAAGACGGATGCGTGTATACCTCAGTGTTCTCAAACAGTCTTAGGACTACATAGCTCATGTAATCAAGTTCTTTGGTTTTACATAGACGTTCCAATGCGCTTTGGCAGACCAGACTTTCTTCTCCTTGAAGAGATTCATCGAGGTTACAATACCGTAGCACGTTCATCAGAGAATGAATATGTGATTCCTGTCAATAGTTACAGAGCAGAAAGTCATCAATTACCGCATGTTCCACCAATTGTCAAGCTAGTTGCGTGATCTAGTCACAAATCAGAGTCTAATTCTAAGGTCGCATGAAAAAATTTCAAAATAATTTTCCCCGCTTTGTCTAGCCGGATGGTTGCATGTAGTAGGGGATAAGGAACTTGAAAGAAAGAGACAACAAAAGGATTAAGGAACTCACAGAAGTAAAGTAAAGGCGTGTCCTCACATGACGTTCAGGCGTCATGACATTTGCATACCTAAAAGGGAACACAATAAATCGATGAAATTAAGACAAATGATGAAGATATATGTTGCCACTTATAATGTAAAAGAGATGCCACTTACTTTGGATCTAGTCGGTATTTGGGTTCTTTATCCTCATCATCATCTTTATTCTCTCCAGTGCTAGGTCGTCTCAACTCATCGCTATTAATGAAAAGTTTTGGTTGACTATATCGATCCTCCTTTCTCGACGAATACAATGAGACAGAGACTTGTTCTTGGCTGTTCTTCAATTCAGCAACACTCATGGCCTCTTCTCGTGTATTCCTTAAGTCTATGAGGATCTTACCCAGCAGGCGCCGTGCAATCTTTATTTCGTATACAAAACAAAAAAAAAAGCACATATGTTAAGCTGTGATATCATCATCTGAGAAAACCATGGACCCTCAGGGATTTTTCAAAAGAGGAAAACAAACATTCATATGTTATTGTGTAAGTTAGAGGGCGAATTTAAGGAACCCATACCTTTGAACCGATTTTCAGTTTTTGCTGTGGATTGATCCCATATTCATTTGGGATTACTCCATCTGCAAGTAACTGCAACCACATAACACATAACTGGCCTTAATCAATACAGTCCAAGATTGATATGCAAAACAGAGATGTACAACAGAAATAGCACAGTCTGAATCTGGAAATCTTGGATATCTAGTAATAGTAAGGTAAAATTGTCTCCGAAAGACAACTGGATAATTGTACATCGAGAAATACATTTCAAAGTTTCAAATAGTGGAAGGGAAACTACAGCCTTTTATTCAGCTCATACCTGCGCAACTTTGAAGAGTTCGTCTAGTCCTTTTAAACCGAGATGAGAATTATGTAACAGGTCATACCTGGTGTTTGACAACACATTGTACGATATTCAGAATGGAGCAATTAAAGCTGGAATCCATCCAGATAGATAGTAAAATATCAACATAATAGAATGAAACATATAGCTTACTTGCATGAATCGTAAACATCAGGAATCTGCGTTATGTCAAACCGTCTGTATTTAACTCTAACGATCAGTGCCACTCATAAAATCCATACAGAGAATTAATATGCATATGACCATACACTTACTCTCTTCTTTCGTTGTAGAGATCCCTTTCGAGTTTTCTCCACCGAGCAAACATCAAAAGGAACCCTTCACTACCACAAGGTAATCCAGCAGCAATCCGACCAACGTCAATGTTAGACTTGCCAAGAGCCTTAGCTTGGTCATATGGAGGGACTACATCATAAGCGCTAGGCTCAATGAGATTCTCGTGTTCATCTTTTGCAAGTAGCCTCACTTGTTCAGTCACCCTTTTAGCTAATTTTACCTATTTATCGAAAAAGTAAACAGAGAAGTAACGTTGAGTCAATATTTTGTGCTCTCCAGTAAAAACAAATTATTTCGCCAAGGTGTCAAAACACTCAACATTCCATTTTTAATAAAGGAACAAAAATGCAGCTAGAAAATGAGGTCGGAAAAACATGTGCATACCAATTCAGGTAGGTGCTCATCAGCGTGCGGAGGAAGTCCAGCTCCATCAGTCATCCAAGGTAAATCAGAAGAGACATAATCACGTGCCATCTTTGTGCCAGTGGTTATGATCTCATTTAGTTGAGCCTGCAGGCAAATTGGGAAAGCAATTCAAAACTGTAAAGAATTACACATGATTGGTTCTGTACATACGAGTATATAATTCACCCTAAATTCCAAAATGAAATTCAACTATCTACGCATGCATGAAAAAACCACAATTTCAAACATCAGATGAGCAAGTGCATTGGAAAGGCCTCTATTTAGCCCCTTTGGAAAGAAAATTTCGGTGTCTTAGAAACAGATCCAATCCAGAAGTTCATCCATGCCACTACTTATTATTGGTTGATGCTTCTACTAGTACCAAAACATCCTTTCCTTCATCTCATATCTGCTGAAGCCACTTTCATCAAAATATCATAGAGAGAGGGACAAACCTTAGCTGCTTCCATTTCACTGCTCGCATTATCAAGGCCATCCAACATGGAAGAGTCCTTACTAACCAGAGAAACCTAGAGGAAGAAGATAAGACATTTAATGATTATGACATTGACAAGTACCATACTAGCTTGGTAAACAAAAATGGCAAACCAGGATTGGGGTCAGCTGTCCTTCTAGGTCAAGCAAGCCTTTAGCAAAAGCAGCAGCAGACATCTGCAAACAGTACAATTACATTCATCTTTTGATCTGGGGAACCGTATCATATCTCAGTGCAACCAATGAGAAATATACAGAAGACATAGCGAATATCTGAATGCTCTATGGCTAACGTCACTACTAAATCAGCATGAAGTTGTACCTGAACACGCCCCTCATCAGAGCTGTAAATTTTAAGGTCATGACGGTATGTACTGTGGAGACGGAGCAAACCAGTACCTTCACCTGAAAGCATATCCCTTTTTATAAACCACTCAAAAACAAATATATACTGATCCACTTTTCAAAAACAATTGAATGAGACATATGGAAGGTATAATATGAAATGATTGGACAAACAAAAGTTGATCAAGTTTCTCACCTGGATACATATGGTTTCGAAAGTATCGACCAAGTTCTTCAGCCTGTGATAAAAAAATAAGCAAACATCAAAGAAATTGGAGAAGACCTTATCCACCGCTTGCACTGGAGATATCGTTACATTAATTAACTACGCCTTCATTACAAATACCACTACTGAACTTTGCACTGCATTTACCATTATCTTCTGCTGCCAAATAATAGTATTACCTGCTTTCTACCAGCATGAGTTAGAACACCCCCATATTTCAGAACCATAAGAGCTTCCACTGGGCGTTCCTCTTCACCTTCACCATCACTTTTTGGTACATTAACCCATTTCAACGGCTTCAGTTGAACCTTCCTGTATATGCCAGAGAAATGTCCACCCTGCACGTTTGACACATCTACAACATGAGACTGAGTTTGCAACGAAAATTCAGTTCCCACATCCTTGCAAAAGCGATAAATATAGCTGTAACTGTTCCTGTACAGTTAACTGCAAGGTCTATAAAAAATGGAACGACATGGGACTGCATAAAGGATGCAGATGTCAGAGGAAAGAACAGAAAAATAATATTGTTAAAACACACAACCTCTTCAAGAACAGCTTTAACTTGCCGAAGCTTGTCAGCATGTTCAAGGTCTTCTGCATCACTATCACTTTCACCTGATCTAAACATCAAACATAAATACAATAAGGTATTGTGAAAACTAGGAAAGTAACATATGAAAGCCACTGTATTAGGTTACTGCTAATTTGTTGAATTACTTAGGGACACACCTCGCTGGAAAATATATCATTGAATATCAAAATAAAATTAGCTCATTCATTTAAGTTAAATTTCTTTCAATTTATCCACGAAATCCTTGAATGCAATGGTTCTCTTAATCAGTAAAGAAACATGTATCCCAGAGTACCACTCAGGCAAGGAAAGGCTTAGGCTGTAAGCAATAAGCATAACTTATGCCATAAGACCATTATCAGGGGTCTACCTTGTACGAGGAATTAACATCCTTGTAGCATCCAATAGATCTTGCAAT